ATGCAGATTTACAAATTTTATCTCTATAATATTACATGGCTTCATGAGGGCGCTATGCGCGACAGAGGCAACGTTGTAACAATTTTTAAGCACACATTTTGCATGGCTCTCTTTTTTTATTGAATGGTTTTACTGCTTAATTAAATGATTGTAATTTTCCCAGAAGCATGGGTAAGGCCTGTTATAAGGTGAACATTTACTCAAATTACACTGATTGCCCAACGGTAAATCATTTAACGCTATCCAATTCAAAAGCGTTAATTGTAAATCTATGGTTAGTAGGGCAGAACTATGCAACAAGTAAAGGTTAAATGTAGGTTTTATTAACAGTACGCATTTGAATAAAGCACAAAACGAACATTCATATGCAATGAGAAAATATGACATACCGGGTATTGCGTATAACAACGAGGGAGTCATGATGCTAATGCATTTTGGCTAACATTCAACGCAACGGCACGATATCTGAACAGGACAAAAATTATAAAAATATAAAATTTAAGTAAATTGAATGCATACAAGGGAAAGGGATAGTGAATGTCAAACCCTATTTGCATACTTGGTCAAAAAAAGTATATTTTATAGACCTCTCAGCATGTGGATAATTTAGATACTTTTCATAATGGTACATCAAATAATATACGAACTGGGATTTCAAGCTGACATATCATCTTCCTTGCATGCTATTAAAAAGTATTGTTCTTCAAGCAAATAAAATTCTTCTTTACTAAATACGCAAACAACGCAATGATCTAATCGTGAACTGGTAAGCAGTATTTTCTGTTGTGTGAAGTTATCGCCCGTATAATTTTTAATTGCATTTATTTTTTGCATAAATAAACATTTCTGCTAAATCCATTTTAAAGTAAAAAGATCAAGAATAAACATTTTATGATTTATTTTAAAGTAACGATAACATTTTTCTTTTTGTTGTAGAATAGGTATTTTCCCCATTATTTTTTATTGTAAAAACATTAAAACATCTATGTATTAGTAATATAATTTATTTTACAAGGCCAAACTGTAACTGTGTCAGACGGTCAAGAAATAAATAAAGAGAGAGAGAGATAGTGGGGTGTGAGAGAGAGAGGGGGAGGGAGGGGGAGAGAGAGAGGGAGGGAGAAAGAGGTGGGGAGAGAGAGTGTGTGAGGGGAGAGAGTGTGAATGGGGAGGTAGAGGGTGGGAGAGAGAGAGAGTGAGGTGAGTGGGGAGGTGGAGGGTGGGAGAGAGTGCGGGAGGAAGAGAGGGTAGTGGGAGGGTAGGAGAGAGAGTGGGTGAGGAAAAAGGGAGGGAGAGAGTGGGGATAGGGAAGGGAGATTGGGACTGAGGGTGTGGTGAGAGAGTGTGAGGATGGGAGAGTGATAGCAGGTGGAGGGGGCAGAAAATGGTTTTCTTGTTATAATTATATCAGTATTTATGCATGCACAACTGAGCTGACTTTTTTTCTGCATTTTTGATGTTGTAAAATTTGCCTACATTTTTCCAGTATATATATGTACACAAGTTTCTCGAATTTGATAATGAGAAAGCATGGAGAGATAACCGTACCACAAATTTTTAAAATGTTTTTTCCCCTAATTTCTTGTTTTTCCAAATTTGTTTCAATAATGTTATTTTCATTTCTTATTTTAATTCTAACTTAGACTAAAATATTCCAGTTCTATATCATTTTTTAAATGTCATTTTATTTAACGATATTTCACGATTTAACGATTAGCGGGTTCCAGTAAAAGTTCTTCCAAATTTCTTTACTCCTCACCTAACAGCAGTGAAGGAGAAACTTCAGTAGCACTGTGCAACAAAATATTCCAGAAGTTGTGTAAATCTGATGTGGATACTTAAAAATTCCAAGGATCTTTTGGAAAAATTTAAAATCACAAAAATTTACCAAACTAACATAAAAACGTACGACTTTTCAACTCTATATACGACATAAAAATGAAATATGATAATAAAAATAAACATGGAACTCGAAAATTTATTTACCTTGTAATTGGTCATTTTCAAAATTATTTTAAATTTGTTATAAACATTAAATTATTTTGTTAAAAAACATTCTGATTGTAAACACAAGTACTCTGAAGTTGATATTAAAAAGATACTTGAGTTTCTGATTGTCTATATCTATGTGGTTTTTGGAGACCAGCTCTTTCAACAATCTGCCGAAATTCCCATGGGTACCAATTATGCCCCATTATTAGCAGACGTATTTTTGTATTCATATGAAGCAGAATTTATTCAAATTCTTATACATGAGAAGAAAACACTTTCTATGGGCTTCAACTCGACATCTAGATATATCTACGACGTATTATCAATTAACAATAGTTATTCCCATTCATATGTCGACCCGATATATATCCCATTGAGCTTGAAATTAAAGATACCACATAGTCTGATACATACCACGTACATTGTATATGATGAAAGTATTAGGAAGTGGCTTTAAGGAGGGAGAATGTACTTTGCTCCTCCAACATACTTTTGAGAGTATAAAAAAAAAAATCAGGAGACGTAGTTATCTATGGGCCTCCGCTGACCCTCCCCAACGCTGTGATGAACGCGTATCTAATTTCTAAAGGTTTTACAGTAAAACTTGTCTAATCCGGACACGACTGGTTCCATAGAAAATGACCGGATTAGACAACATTCCGGATTAGTCAACATTTAAAACAAATGAATTTACTGAAATGGACTTAAAATTAACATCGTATTAAGCAAGATTTCGGATTATACTTCCGGATTAGACAAGTTTTACTTGTATTGTATAATACAGTTAAAAAGTAGGGGGTCAGATTTCTATCATAACAAAAATTGCATAAATTAAGAATGTAACATATTTTTGGTGCATTGGCACTATTTGGCGGAGAGAGTTAACAGATGCGAACTCTGAAGATAAAAATAAACATAGATGCTGACCACTAGGGTTTTACCTTTTAACCTGTACCGTTCCAAGAAAAAAAAATTACTCAGTTGCTTTTCAACAACTACCGGCATTCAACTAATACATGCGTGTACAATGATTTACATAAATGTCCATATTTAAGATTGTGAATAAAGGGCAATAACTCTTAATAATTCGTTCTGTTGAAAATAGCACAGGCAAACCTGAGGGTACAAAAAAATGAATATAACCCCAGTTTTGTTAGTCGAATTAAATTAAAACGACCCAAAGGCCTGTGGAAAATAGTACTAAACAGTCTTCTCCTAAAAAAAAAAAGAATATTCTGATAAAATACAGTTTGCAGTTTTTACTGTGAGTTGAAAAATATATCTACTCATATACAAAATTTTATACATGCTTTAGAAACATGTTATTTGATTTCAAAAAAAACAAAAAAAAACAAAAAAAAAAAAAAAACAAAAAAAAAACGGTTCTGTCAGGGGGTCTGGACCCTCCCCCTCCCCTTTCCTGGATTTTTAGAGTTAATTTCTCTACACTGTTTTTCAGTTGTGAGAATAAAGTTCATTGAGATAGATAATACATGAAAAATATTGAATTATTTTAACTTACATTGTAAATAAGCCATTACCTTGTTGAACATGAACTAGCTCGTATATATAAAACTAATCTATTATAGTGTTTATGTAATTCCCTCGATATTCAAAATGGTATTTCTACACCATGATACCACAAAAAATGATGTGGACTTCCACTAGGAAACAAGGACCCCTCATAAAATGTAAGGAGAATTATGTACATGAAGAAAATTGACTTACAAAAAGGATTTAAAGTCTTGGTGGGATACGGGGGGGGGGGGGGGAGCTTCTAGTTTCTGCTAATATAAAAGACAATTTTTTTTAAAAAAATTCAAGTTGCATAAATTTAGAAATTGCGTCGGGGTATTTTAATACATGATCTGCATTTAGGTCATAGCCTTGCATGATAGAAATACCATTTTGAATATCGAGGGAATTACATAAATTTAACACTATAATAGATTAGTTTTATATATACGAGCTAGTTCATGTTCAACAAGGTAATGGCTTATTTACAATGTAAGTTAATATAATTCAATATTTTTCATGTATTATCTTTCTCAATGAACTTTATTCTCACAACTGAAAAACAGTGTAGAGAAAATACAATTGTAAAATGTGTACAAACAATGTATAACTAACAAAAACAAAACAAAACAAACAAAAACAAACAAACAAACAAACAAAAACAAAACAAAACAAAACAAACAAACAAACAAACCAAAACAAAAACATATAATATGCCTGAAGAAGGGATAACAGAGTTTAATTAACCAAGAAAGCCAATTCTTTCAGTTTTAATATGATCTAACAATTTATAAATTTTGCTAAGCTGATTAAAATTTGTTACATTTAAAAGCATTTCAAATTTCAAAACATTTGGATTCGATTGAAAATATTTTGGTAAATACGAAACTCTTGAGTTCTTTATAGATACAACTTAGTATATCTTATTTTAGATTTTTAAAAGGAGAAAATATGAGATAATTGTTTCTCATTTTGTTTTGAGTTAATTAAAATAACTAAATTAAAATCAACTTTTCGATACACACGTATTTTTCAAATCGATTCTATTTCCTTGTTGAAGAGGTCCATCTATCATAATGATTTTTCATTTTTTTCAAAATTACGATCCGATTATTATGGACTCTGTAAAATTAACTTAATCGGGTCGTTGTGAGCAAAATGTTGAAAACATCACTTATTTTTTCTAGTCTAGAATTTTGAACATTCCAGAAAGTTTACAATTTCTTAATATATTAGAATTTTATTATTTGCATCATTTACAACAAAAATAGGTCTATAAATATATACCAATCCAGTCATCGATTTTTATCTATTTATTTATTTATTTTACCTATTTTTGATTGTTTGTATCATCTGTCCTTAAATTTCAATGTTACACGAAATTTAAGATCCGCCACCGTATTTTTGAATGGTACTACATTTTAAACCTGTTGAGTTTTATCAAAAGCTGGTTTACTGTTTGTTTGCATATTTCAGGTTTATCTGCATTACAGATGTCAAAATCCAGCAGAACTATCAAGTGTATTTTCGTCACACTTCTCTGTATAACGGACATTTATAGCACCACCAGGTACGTGGACCATATAAGCTTCTAAAGGGGTTAATTAATTTAAAGTAGAGGTTTCAGATTAATTTTTAATTTAAACTATGTTGATAAGTCCTACTCTTTAAAAAAAGTCTTTTTTTATGAATATATAATCTCATGTTGGGTTAAATTAATTCACACGTGGTACATGTTTGTACATACTGTATAACTATCATGTACACGTGTGAAACATGCAGATATACGGTATATAATTATAGCACATGTACATGTGTATATACTTTGTACGTATGCATGTAAACACATGTACATTATACTTATTCATCCCTTCAAACATAGATGTATGCGAGAATTTTTGAAAGGTGAAACATTTTTCTCAGGGGGAAAATGAATTTAAGGAATTCTGCATGAAAAACTTACACAAAATCCCAGACGTGCTTAGATCAGTCTTATTTCGACGGATTGGAGAGAGGGGTGAATCTTTATGTTTTGGACTCCATGCACCTTAAATCCACCACTAAATCTCTAGACAGCAAATATCTACGTGCATTGAGCATTGCTTTAATTAAGGAACCTTTGCTGTTATATTTTAATGTCCATGTACAACTTGATAGCTCTGTTACCACCGTTGTTCCTGGACCTGTTCGTTTTATTTACGTATTAATACATTCAATGGCATTCTTTTCTTTCCACTACGGGGCTTTGAATTCTCCAGTGGTTATAGGACATCAAAAGATTGAGACGCCCCTTTTTTCCCACTGGAATCCTGTGAGTGTTCGCCAAGTTGTTATATAACATTTTTGAAGAAGTTTTTCCATTTTATCCCATGTTTACCCCTTTATCCCGTGGATATGACTCATTGGATAAATTTTTCATAATCCACAGTTGTGACGTCACAATGGTTTTTGCGTTAGCGCGATGAAGTAAAATAAAGTGGAGTCCTATATAAAACAGTGTAAAACATTGGTTGTGAAGTATTAAACATGGGATAAAAAGAATCTCCCATGATTTGTAGTTGGATATGACTTTTATCCAACTCGTTGTGTGTTTTTATCCCCTCGCCAAGGCTCGGGGATAAAAAACACACAACTCGTTGGATAAAAATCATATCCAACTACAAACCATGGGAGATCCTATATATATCACAAATATGATATTTTTATCCATATGCCCTGAAAAACTGCTGAATCACGCCGGATATAGTTATATTACACCGGAAACAGTTATGTTGCCCTCCTGAACACCGTTATATTCCCTCGCGTGTAATCATTCTGCATATTAATTAAATCGGGTTCGAAATTCACAGAGGCAGTTGCTAAGCAAACGTAAACAGTTCCGCGAAAATGAAAATGTCTGGAAAACGTCTACGTTTTTTTTTTTTTTATGTTCATTTAAATTCAGAGGAACTAGAGAGTTTGATTGAGGAGAAAAATTCCGTAAATACAACAAAAGTTACAAGCACAAGTGTCAGCGTGCTGAAAACATTCTGCAATGAAACAAGACGGAATATTTCGGAATTATTTATAGAGGAAGAGAAATCAGCCTTCATAGCTTTCAGCTGTCCCCCGTTATCATTTTAACAACAATTGTGTTAATGTTCCTTAGCATTATTATTGAAACAATTGGTACCCACCAATCAACTATTTAAAAAACAATTTGCATGTTTTTTCCAGATATTTACACAGGTCCATAGTCTTCAATACATATGTCCGATTTTGGTTTTTTAAAAATGTTATATACCATATATTACATATAATATTGTTTCCCGTACCTAACCTGAAAATTCTCTGCTTGATGCGGAATTCTGACCATATAGAATTTACATCCACGTCATTAATGGATCATGAATTTCCACTTGGAGGCGCCGGGATTGGGGGGGGGGGGTAAATAAATTGAAGACGCGTAAAAATAGGGCCTATATTCATTGGTTTATGCTGATTGCTCGAATCGTTTTTTTTTTCATGCTACATCTGCATTAAAAATGGGCCTTTGATCCGTTCACTAGATTGCTGTGTGATCCATCTCAGCTGTTAATCAACTTTATATATATAATTTTAACCTAATTACACGAAGAATTCAACAGAAATTGTTGAAAATTGATATATCTTTTATTCTAATTTTTCTGAAAATGCAATACATGTACTTTGAAGCAAAAAAAAAAAAAAAAAAAAAAAAAAGAATATTAGAAAAATTTAGAGGGACACAAGCATGCATGATGAGCCCCCCCCCCATAAGTCCCCAGAGCATGTTGTATCCCTCACAACCAATAATACGCATCAAGTTAAATTATCATATAACTTAAAAGTTAAAATTATAGTAAATTGAAACCAGAAGGATGGCTATTTTTCCTTTTAAATATACAGATGTGTAGGTGATCAATAGTGGAGGTCAGGAATTCATAAATAAGTAGGGGTCAGTAATTCATAAAATCTTTAAACAAGTTCTGCCCCCCCCCCCCCCATAACCACCATCACCTCGCATTAAAAACAGTATTTTCAAAAGTGGAGTTGTGACCCATCTCCACATAAACTGCTCTCTATAGCTGTTATTAATTGTGTTTTCACGCAGTATTAGTGTCCTTTCATAAATCAATGAAATTTGTTCTATTACGGATAAGTTAGGTTTTCATTTTGGGATTTAAAACTACTGTGCAGCGAACATATCCGGTTTTGTGTTTGGCAATAAACAAAAGACACCTCCTCAGTGGGTTAATTCAAGGATATGCCAAGCACTGGTCATTGATAAAGAGGTAATGTTTTAAAATATTGATTAATTAATTTTTTTGCATGTTTTAAGTGCATGTGTAAAAGTATTCACAATGACCTTTCACCCTGACCTCGTAGCCACCCACCCGTCCTACCTGTCAAGTTGTCAATCTACTCACCACTTTACCTGTTATTCTTATATTTGTTGTACGTACCCGTGTTTTATCCATGATGTAAACCTGGGTGTTTCGTCATCACTTTATTCTAAGGTAGGCGACACTTTACTGCTTTAGTCAGTTCATAGTAAAATCCCCTATTTTACTACATTGGCGTTGCCTGTATTGGCTGTAATTCGGTGCGGGGATATTAGCAAACATCCACGTGTGAATCGTGTGAATTGTCACTCGTGAATGAAAACACGGGTTGAAATATTTTCTAATATTTCGCGTTTGGTCAACTTGGAATTTCAGGAAACCGTTGTTAACAGGCGTTATATATACAGTAGCTGCAATAATGTAGCCCTCTCCAATTTTTTTTTTTTTTTGGGGGGGGGGGGGGAGCCCTCTCCTGAAAATATCAGATTAAAAAAAATCGGAGAGGGCTACATTATTGCAGCTATATATACATGTATTTAAAGTTAGTTACAAAGTTCCAACAATTTGACTAATTTGCCATGTTATTTTTTTTACCGGTGAGTCGTATTTACTTTATATTGAACACGTGGTGATATCAGGTCATAGTTTAGTAGTTGAGACGTCATCGCTTAGCAGTTGTGAGATTAAAAACATTGGAACATGGATTTTAGCAACATATTTGGGAAGAAATTGGCAGTTTTCGTCTCTGACAAGATAATTTTGTTACTATCTCAATCTTATTACAGGTCAGAAATTATATTTTACTTATTTTGATATCCATTCACACTGTGACAGCATATCACTTTCATATCCTTTCACACTGTGGGAGAATATCACTTTTATTCAATGAATAAATCACAGTACAGTTAAACTTTGATATCTCGACATCGGATATGTCGACAACCTGGGATATGTCGACGTCTGTCCTTGGTCCAGGCAGTATTTACTATATATATGATTTGCAAAAACTCTGATGTGTCGACCTCGATAATGTCGACTAGTCACTACTCGGCTTATCTCGATGTATATTCACAGTCCTAAGAGTAATATTTACCTGGTATATGTCGCATCGGAGCAATTTTCTGCTCTACTAAACCTAACTATTTGTCAGATGGTCCGTGTATCTCGACATCGAAAGAAATTCACACCTTTGACTGCACACTGCTAAATTAATTCTATAGACTGTGTTTGTAGAATCCCAAGCCCCCCTCTGTCGTCTTTGAGACGTTAATTGCTTAACGTTCAGCTTGAATAGTATCATTGATAAATATACACGATTCTACGTTAATGTACAGGCGTTTATTTATATCGAAACCTAACATAACTTTTAAAATTTGAAGAAGGTATTTGAATTACAAAGAATATCAAACACATTGAATGTAATTCAAACACAGGAATCGAACGATGTTTTAGTGATATTTTGTTGTAAAAATGCATTCAACAGGAAACAATCCAATTAACGACACGATTGACCGAATCAGCCGTAATTCATGCATCTGTAACATCACTACATTAGTTTAAATACACAAATCTGTTAAAACTTTGTTTTTAATAAAGGATTATGAGCTTTGAGTTTCTTCCTGAAATGAAGTAAGAAAAAAAATAATTATATGCATTTTTTCACGTATCTTTGATGTCGACTTTATAGGTTCAAAGTTTTTATTTCATTTCGTATCCTGTTCAGACAAAAGCAAGTTACACGCGGAATGCTGGATGGAAATCGTTGTAAATTTAGACAGATTTTGAAGAGAGAAAGAACGCATTTTATAAATAAGTTTTTGAAAAAAAAAAATAACTCCATAGATTTTGTAATAATAGATATAATAGAGGGATTGCTGAAATAAGATGAAATACTGTCCATTGAAGTCATGTACGTAATAAACTTGTCTGTTTTGCTATGCAGTGACATCTTGTACGTCGAGTCTCAACTCTGATACCTCGGATATCTCGACATTTTCTGATAGTCCCGTCGATGTCGAGATAACGAAGTTACCTGTATTTCACTTTTGAAAACGTGATAAATTCTGAAATTCGTTTTTTTTCTCTTGGAGCGAATTTTTTAATTATTAATAAAGATAGAATGAATGAATGAAAGTCATTTTTTTTTTAATTTTTATCCATATACACTAGCAGTAATACCTCACACAGGTTTACAAAAAAACTTTTGTGATTGTACATGTCGTCACCTTAGTGTATCAGTCCGTAATACACGACCACAGATTTGGTGCCCTAAAATGAAAATAGATCAGGAGCTACATTACTAGGGTTTACACGAGCGGATCCAGAATGAAGTGCTCAAAAAGATAATTTCCTGGGGGTGGGGTGGGGTGCGATGGGGATAATCTCAGCGAGTTCGTCGAGACTAAAATTTTTGTACTGACGTCTCTTCCGAATCTCAGACAGTGCCACACAACGTAATTCGGGAAATCTTTCCCGAACTTCGATCGTCTCGACGAATCTCGCTGAGATGGGGGAGGGGTGTAGTCGTTGAGGTCTGGGGTCGACACAGGTCCTGTCTTATCATGCTTTCTTTCATAAAAATGACTATAATTCTTATCTACTTATCCAAATTTACATTTATTCTTATGTAATTTTATGATATAAATTTTTATAAAGCTGAAAATCCTATGATGGTTCTGAACCGCCCCTTTCCTTTTTATGTTGGATCCATGATATCCGTCTAGGGCTGCTCTTATACAAATTTACTTTTCAAAAATATTTACAGTGAGAACCATTCTAAATCATGATTTAATATGCATATACAGTGGCTTAGTTCTCGTAATATTAGCACATTAAGAATTTGACCGTGTAAATGATGCAATATAATGTTTATCATTTATTTTGCAGCTGAACATCATGTCGGATCGACCCACCATCGACCTTCCCATAGTGGACATGTCAAAAGCCAAGACGGACCGAGCTGCTCTGGCTAAAATTGTAGTGGACGCCCTGGAAAACATAGGCTTTCTTTTCATAGACAACGTAGAAGGACTGGACTTTGATCGATTGTTCCAAGCCTGTAAGTGGTTTTTCTCACTACCCGAGGAGAAAAAGAGGAAATTGTGCCGCAAAAATTGGGTCCCCGAGAATAAGAATATTTACAGAGGATACTTTCCCGTCGTGGAGGGAGAGCCGAGTCGAAAGGAGGGGTTTGAATTTGGTCGGGCTGTAGATCCAAATGATGTTCAGGTAAATATGCGATAAAAAAAAAAAAGTTAAGTAAAATAATAATCCTAGCCCAATTTTAATTTTCTTGGCCTCGGTTGAAGAGAATGTTACATTTGTTTGTCTTTTTTATGTTTTCAGTTAACTTATTATTCATTTTTCTTTCATCCATTTATTTCTGCTAATAATTCAGTAGCCTGATCATACAATCCATACTGTTGCTAGTATACCGCTCAACGTACATATACGTTGTTTCATAAATACTTGATAAAATCTGTAGGTCAAGAAGGTAAATTTTGAATTTTACATGTGGCAATGTCAAGCAAGCCACTACAAATTTCGACAATGGAACAGTTAATCTATATTTTAAATTTATCGCTATATTAATTTAATTAAATCATAAAGGAACAGTATGGCAAAGTAAATGTTACACGTGAGAGAGAGAGAGAAAAAAAAACATTTATCGTCACCTTTCTTATTTTCGTCTTTATCAGGTGAGTCCAGACAACTGGTATTATGAGAGCTGTCCATGGCCGGAAGAAGACGGAACATTTCCTTTTAAGGAATACATGACCTCTATGTACGAGGTCATGCATGAACTAGCCATGGAGATTTTACGCTTGACTGCCATTGGTCTGAATTTACCAATAGACGCATTTACGTATCTGTTTGCAGACAAACCATGTACCACGTACAGAATTCTGCATTATCCTCCGTGGAACGGACCGCCCCCTAGCAACGCTCGGATCGAGGACGGTAAAATCCTGACAACGCCAGATCATTCCGACTCGAATTTCCTCACTCTTTTGGCAACGTTCGATTACAAAGGTCTCGAAATTGTGAACTCTGAGGGAAACTGGGTCGCGGTAGAACCGAGACCAAAAAGCCTCGTTATGAACATCGGTGACCTTTTTGACCGAATGACCGGAGGAAACAAATTTCGTGCCACGCGTCATCGTGTCCTTGACATCGGGGTTGATCGATATTCCGTACCGTTCTTTCTGGAGCCATCGTACTTCAGTGATGTTGGGGTTAATCTCATAAAAAAGTATACTGGAGAAGAAACGCACGAACCGGAGAGATATGGCTGCTACATGATTCGAGTCGCCAAGTACGAGCGAAAATACTTCGAATACAAGGTACTTCCGGACTTCGAAAAAGTGGGCGAGCGACTCGGTTTGGTGGATCCAGTTGGTTCCTAAATTGAAAATGGAACTTTTATAACCACTTCAAATCCGCCGATGAAAAAAAAAATACACGTGATAAAGAATTGTTAGATTTATATATCATTCATTTGTTTTTGTTAAAATGTCACAGTTGCGTGCTTAAGAATTCGTTACAAAAGAAATTCTTAGATTTTACGTGTAACTTGTATTCTAAGTAACGAAGGAAAGTATTTATTTAGCAATGGTTTATTCATGGGGAAGCTGAAAACTTTCTTTGTAAAAACGGATGTTCAGTCTTTTCTTTAATTGTTTGTTATACAAACACGTTAAGTATGCTGTGCATTGTTAGTTATTTCAAACTTTTACCACATGCTTTACTGTAGAGGACCACTTGCTAATTTACTTCGTTAATTTTAATAAAGGATAGGCAAAACCACCGACTGTTGCATAATCTTTCCAGGTGACGTATACAGTCACTTTGGCAGATCATAATTATATACAGCTGTACATGTATGCTTCGAAATTTAGTGCCCAAATAATATTTCTACCGAATATGATGAAATATGAAGATAACGAACAGTAATCAACCTCAAAAGTCCATTTGAACATTACAAATTGGAGCAGAACAAACACGCTCTAAAAACAGAGGTGGGATCAGGTGCCATGGAGGAGTAAGGGTCCCCTGTCGACCAGTCACACCCGCCATGTGCCCATTGTCATGATCGGGCAAATAGAAAAAAATCCATAGACAATTCAGTATGAAAATAATGGCCTAAAAATTTACATGAAAAACATCAGTCAACATTGAAATTAATGATAGATTTTATTTGCTAACAAGGTCATTATATTCGACCATAGAATTCGCGAAATGTTGACTCTAAGTGAGACTGTTGATATTCTTGTTTCATCAACTTATTTGTCAACAACTTGCCTCTTTTTAGAAATTGTTCTTACGTAGAGCATGGTCTTGCATATCGAAACAAATGGGAGACATAAACTCCATATGCAGGTGATAATGGTAAATTGCTACACATATTAGTTTTCACAAAAAGCTTGTCTGACGAGAGCTTTATTATTATGCGAAGAAAAAAAAAGTTGAATCTAGCGTAATCAACATATCTCTGAGTGCAGGAATGAATTATTTTTCTAAGAAACAAGAAAGGCATCAACATAAAATAAAAATCGCTGACATGAATTTATTCTATATATTTTATTTTACTTAAAAAAATTTTCTATGGCCGTAGGAACCGAGGAGCGGGGAGTCGGGTCCCCCCCCCCCCCATCCCCCATGAATTTTGCCGAAATATAATATATACTAAAGAAATCGTAGCTACTTTATGCTTGTGTCCCCTAAGTCATGTAAATAATGTCTGAAAACCTTTTTTTTGCCTGATAAGGAATTTTCTTGATAATGTCCACCCTAAACAGAAATATTTTGCTTGTGCATCTTCTCCCCATGAAATTTCTTCTTACGAGCCTGTTCCTAGATACATAGATATAACCACTGATTTTGAAAGAAAAAGTTACAAAACATAAAAACTAAACATCAATTAGTGAACAGTTTGGATAATTATGAATTTTCATTAAATAAACTTGTTACAAATGAGCTAAATGTTCGTCATCTATCTTTCAGTTGGGTATTTTTTAAACTATATATGAATAAATCAAACCTCTGCAAGTTATGAATATGTGTTGACTTTATAAAAAATCTAAAGCCAGAGAGACTTAGTATGCATTGAAAATAAACATCCATTAGTTAATCAGACAGTAAGGATACTCGACAAGTGTTGAACTCAGACCAGCTTCATTCCTGCTGTTTTGCTACGAATGATGCATTCGAGAATGGCTAAGCGTTATGTAACCTGTAATGTATAATGTGATCATAATGACATCAGACCCCAAGACTATAAACTGATAACAGACTTAAGTCAAAATTTCAAACCAATATAACTTTTGAAATAATTTTGATAATGAAACAAAAATTTCATCATATGTTTAAATTTAAATGTTATATTAAACTGCAATTTTTTTTAAGCAAATACGTTAAATAAAACTCAGGATATTAAAAATCAAAATTTTGACTTAAGTATGTTCTCAGTTTATGGTCTTGGGGCTAGGTCCAGCGCTTTGGCTTAAAATTGTATGAACAACTTGATCAATTTCAAGCCTTGGCTAAATACGCCAAGACGTCAGACAATAAATAAGGGAAGTTAACAATAGAAAAGTTGATTGATCGATTATTGTTGTTTTACGCCGATTCGGCAATATTTCAGCCATATTTCGGCGGTATGAATTTAAATACTGTATGAACGGTTTTGTAAGTTTTTGGGTTTCTCTGGCGGCCCCCATCGAGCCTACTCTTTTTCGAAAACCAGAGAAACGATCTTTAGCGTGCCAAGGGGGTTGTAATCCTTGACACGGGGCATCGTTTTACGTCCCATCCGACGGACTTGATAGAAAAGTTGAAATCACGTTTATCATAAAGTTTTCTTGTTAGGTTACCATTAACGTCTTTTTCTAGTAAAATATCCAAATATAAAACAGATTTGTCAGACTCTGTGGTATCTTTTATTTCGAGTTCAACGTAGGAATGAAAATGAATATTTTTAATTGATCAAACGTCGTTGATATGAATTGAAGACCACAGCAAGACTCCTCCTTTTCATGTAGAGGTTTTTGATTAAATTCTGTGATGTCAAAAAACACGGACTTTGATATATTGACCCCCGGGGATAGGGCGGGGCCATAATGGGGAATCAAAATTTTACATTGAAATATATAGGAAAAAATCTTTAAAAATCTTCTTCTCAAGAACCACTGGGCCAGAAAAGCTGAAACTTTTGTGGAAGTATTCCGGGGTAGTGTAGATTCTAATTTGTTCAAATCATGACCCCCCGGGGTAGGGTGGAGCCACATTGGGGAATCCAATTTTTACATTTAAATATTTAGGGAAAAATCTTTAAAAATCTTCTCCTCAAGAACCACTGGACCATACAGAAAAACTGAAACTTATGTGGAAGCATCCTTGGGTAGTGTAGATTCAAGTTTGTTCAAATCATGACCCCCGGGGGTAGGGTGGGCCCACAATAGGTATTACAAGGGTGGATATTGTGAAGAACAGCAGGACTAAAGTTATTCAGGTGAGCGTTGTGGCCCATGGGCCTCTTGTTATTTTCTATAATTTTATTTTTGCGTAAATAAGCGATACCATTTGCTCCCTAAAAATGCATTCTCACATACATTTTTATTAAAGGTTATTTGAATTATTTTTTTACAGTGTTTTAGGAATAAACAAAAGAATTAGTTTATTCCAACAGTGTAATGAAAACTATTTAGTTTCTGAGGAGGAGCTAGGGGGCTTGATGAATGATGTGAATTATGGTTTTATCAAACCATGGCCGTAGGAACCGGGGGCACCGGAGGAGATGTGTTCCCCCATAATTTTGCAGATATATAGAATACTGTAGAAAACATAGCTACTTTATGCTTGTGCCCCTTCATATTAACGTCTGATGAGATCTTATTTATTTATTTTTTTTTTTATTTTTTGCTTCTCAGGGACCTTTTGAAATTTTTGGAAGTGCCCCAAACCCAAACTGAAAATGTTTGGTTGTGCCTTTTTTATCTCGCCCCTTACAATGTACATTCTATGATGAAATATAAATCTTTGAATATATCATACACTGTACAATCAAAGGTCAAAATATTTTAGAATCTTTAAATTTAAGTTTTTTCAGTGTTTTTGTATTGTTTTATTTACTTACTTATTTATTTATTCATTTATTTATTTATCTATCTTTTGGGAGGAGAGGGTGGGATGCTTTTGTCGGTGTGTTTTTTTTAAATCCGGAAACTACGGACTACATTCCGTTACTTACTTAGACCGGAAGTTAATTATAATGTGAATTTTCGGTCGTGGAGTTTACACAGAAGTACATTGCGTCTTTGGTTTCCGACCCAAGACAAATATTTAGAGGTAAGTGTCAAAATTCTCTACACTTCGTGCTTATTTTGTATTTCGACAAGCAATTAGGTCTTGAAAGAAAGATGTCGGAACACAGACAAAATATCGATTTTAGAGTTCCAACTGACATCGCGGAGGCTGTATTGGGAGAGAAACAAAAAATGTTTGTTTTGAAACGAACTGGGTTAACATGACCTAAATTCCTTCCAGATTATAGATTACGCCGATTAAACCTTGCAATATTAACAGAAAAGAATAATCATACACATTGAAATATTCATCATCATTCAGGATAATGGAGCTTAGAAATTTCATCATTGCTCAAAAACAGAACGTGCAGTATCAATTCGTTAATTTCTGGTAGAAGATTTTCATTGTTCATTAAGCCTAAGAAAAATTCTCCATGAGAAGAACTGCATTAAACGCAGGGGAGTGGGCAGAGTATTTAATGAGCTTATAAGCATACAAGGGTATTAGATTTCATTTGAATTGCATAAACTGCATGATTAAACCCCAAGTTATAATCATGGTATCTTATCTAATTATGCAAATGTAATGGGGCTTTTCAATATTAATCCATGAGGTCAGTCAGGGTGTGTTCCGTGACTGCATGTGCTTTAAACAGGTTAAAAGTAATACATGTAAGAATAATTTTTAGAGTACACATGCATGTGCAAAATACTCATGTAAAGAGAAGATGGGTACTTAACACTTCTACTTTGTGAATTTGTGGTAAATATTATTCTTATTTAGTTTAGGCTTGTTGAGAAGTATAGGATTTTATCTTCTTGTACTCTTCATTTTTATTAAAGCATGTATCATGTATACTTGACACAGTTTTTTTTTTACCAGTGTTTTATCATGTTTATAATTTAATTCAACTTAATTTGTGTTTTTGCAAATTTGGCAAGATGACAATTAATGTTCAGGAAAAGGACATTCGTGCATTTCAGCATTGTTAAAGGATTGACTTAAAATCGTGTGGAAGTCATGTTGAAACTAACCAACTTTCAGTTTCAGTTTCTTTGTAGACTAAGGTATAAAATTGCAAATATGTTACTTGTTTAAATTTAATTCACTTCATACACTTCGTATATTTGCTATATCTTTGTTTGTAATTAATATAGTGGTGTAAGGGGGCACCTGCTCATTCTTCTTTAAGGGAAGGGTGTTGTTGTTAGACATCCCTAAGGGTATCATGTATTTATTGCATGACACAGTCAAATACTTGTAACTTATACAGGTAAAATCTGTAATTCATACTTTCTCTGTAATAGTAGATACATGTATATCTACAGTAAAGCTTCTAAAGAGATAGAGGATACAACTATGATGTTTGCTCATTAAAGCATTTTGGTCTGTCATTCAGTTCACAATTTTTGTTTTTTCGTACTTGATGTGCAGATGTATGCAGTGGTTTTGTTATATCATCATGATCATTTTTCCTTTTTTTTTTTTGTAATGGTCAATTCATTCTAATGACATATATACAATATACAGAGCTGCACAGTGCATTATATTTAAACATGTTTACCAAATTATTTTATGCTTTTATAAGAAGCTACAATGAGATTCTTCTTAGTGTTAAATTAAACAGTTTCAACATCATTTTAATAAATATAGAAAATTCAGTTGGAAAGATGATAAACAATTCAAGGCTGTAAAATTCTGTATGCATTTACCAGTAATTATAATTTGTGGAATTGCAACATGAAACATAGCCTAATTAATTTATCATGATGTATAGAGAAATCAATTACAATGTACATGTATTTGAAATGGTAAATTGCAATATCATTTCTAGCCTCAGAAAATATGTCCTCATGTATCAAGCTTTGTGCACTAAATGAACATGTATATGATTTGATATCTTTTGTGTGCAGAAATTTCAGGAATAATGTATATATGCATTATTAATAATGCTGATTGTATATCCTCATTTATTGTTTTTTATGCCTCCGGATCGAAAGATCCCAGGGGTGTATTGTTTTTGTCCTGTCTGTCTGTTTGACTGTTTGTTTGTCTGTCTATTGTAAACTTTAACCTAGCCCATAACTATTGTGCTGTCAAGGGTAAGGCTTTAATATTTGACATGAGTGTACATCATGACAAGACCTTTCCATTGGTACAGAAATTTTTGATCATGTGACCTCAACTTTGACCTTTGACCTACATTTGAAAAACTTTAACATTGGCCATAACTATTGAACTGTAGTCTACGTCCCACTCCAGAATTGTGTTACCATCGGGGGCATAGGTTTCACAAACACATCTTGTTTTTCTTCATATGACCTTCTACATGTAGAGTCAGGGTACTTATGTCTTGGAAAACCTACATTGCATACATGTATATTAAGGTGGGGCAGCCCCTCTTCTAAGGGAGATAACTCTGAAATTGTTAAATCACTGTTTCCTTTATAAAATTTTTTTCTTCAACATGTTCAACAAACATTGATTTTTGTTCAATTTTGCTACTTGTGATATAGTATAAACTTAGCTTGAATTTGGCTACTTGAATTTCAGAATCTGTGTCTCCTTCTGTCAGGAAATTGTTAAAATTACAGGAAAAAGCCATTAAATGATGATTAGTTCCAGTGAGAAGTATGAGGGACATTCTACCTGTGAAATATGTAGTATGATAAACTGATTGGGGTGGGTGGGGGTGGGGGCTGACTACAGAAAGTTAAGATGCGATCCCTCCTCACCCACCCCTCTTTCATAAATCCACTACACTACTTGCAGTGTACAGTAAAACAAAGTTATAACCAACATGTTTCCCATGCATGCAGTTAAGTGATTTTCATTCCCTGTGGTTTTAAAACATTTTATGAACTTATCGGATATAATGAATTACATTTATTATCGAATCAAAATTGCTTGTTCCTGGCACTTCGCTATTAGCCTTTATAATGTACATACTGTACAGGACTGATGCCCTCCTACATGTATCTCCCAAAAGGATAATGTAGACTCCCTTTATGCTTACATCAGATCATATATCTTGAATCAGAGCTTCATACAGTTAATCTTAACTGGCAGTGCATTGCAATGCCCATGTTACATTTTGACTTAGGTGAGGATGGGATAAATTCAGGAGTAACTTGGCAGGCTGGCATAGCATGCATTAATTAAAACCTGGTAAACCTAGAGCCATTGATGTTTTACTTTGAGACCCACTTTATAATACCAGTATGATTGCTTTAGTTTGAAGTGAAATTAAGTTCCCAAAATGAAGTCATAACAACAAATTTTATAATCCTGGTAATGCATAAAGTGAAATCATGATGATAATTGAATTATTAGTCTCTGGAGCTGGTAGAATTATCAGTTGACCTTTTGCTGTATTAGCAGATCTGACAATCAGCCCTCATCAATTTTCAAACCAAGTTCAGTGTGTGATATTCAGTGTGTTTTAGCATGTTTTAATGTTAGTATAACTTTCAGCAAAAACTTAATTTATTTTTATCATATGAACTGCATGACACCCCCCCCCCACCCCCCTCCCCCCCCCCCACCCCCAAAAAAAAGAGAAACAATTTATTATACATACAGCTTATCTTAATTGGAAATACAATAAGGTTGTGCAATTACAACTGCAACTACAGAGTTAGTTACAAAGAATTGTTTGTGGGATATCTCTTTTTTTTGGCTGTTAGTGTCTTGTCATTCAGAGAATCTGCCTATTATTAACTGTCCATGGGAATGTATTTATTTGTTAGAGGTCATCATATGAGAATGTAAATATGTATTGCTTGTTAAGTGCTCCTTTTGACGGGATGGGCTACTGTGTAGTAGTGTAGTTGTTTTATTTGGACATATGTTATTAATAATTGGATTTTATCAACTTTTTCACCATTGCTGATTTTCTCCAGTGTTTTAAGTAAATGTAGGAAGGTGTTCAATATTCTATAGCAGTATGCAAATGTTCTGTTTAATTTCATTTTTTTTTTGTTTTGAGGTTTTTAAGCTTGCTTTCAATGTTACATTGCGTAGAGCTATGTAAGTGTTGTGTTACTTAAGATCACCAAGCATTGAGGACACATTATGTAATATTACAACCTTATTGCGCTGAACCGCAATACTCGAAAGTCTCTTTCTACTTTTACACAAGTTGCTTCCTTAATTCATATAAAAAAAGTCTGTTAAAATTTTCTCGGTGAGGGAAACTTGTCATTAAGTAATCTTGAGTGTTACAAACTGCATTGGAGTGATAACAAACAGAGATTATATTGCGTATCATTGTTTACTACAGTTTTAAAAGAACAATAAAGTTAAGAGCCCCCCCTTTTTTTTTTCAAAAAGACTTAGGAGGAAAAGTCCAAAATTTCTCCAAAATCTTGCTTATTTCATCACTGTGTGAAAAAATCTTTATAGACATATAATATTTATTAACCTTGATTAGCACATGTACATGCTCTGTTTGAAATCATGCTAAAATGTAAATCATCAGAGAGAATAAAATGGAGAACTTTCAAAAAGATTAGAAACAGGCAGTACTTTTACAGAAATAGGAGGTACCTTGTAGAAGTGATTTTAATTAAATATGTTCAGATGATGTTATCAATTGAAAGCTTTTTCCATCAAATATTTTGTCCGGTACAATCATGATTTCAGCATGTTCAGCAGGGTTAAAGTAATTGGTAACAGCAGATTTTGAAAGGCCTGAATATGCATGGCAATAGACCATGTAGACAATGTAGACTTTGCTAGGAATTAATTTAAAAATTTTTGATTGTCTTATAAATATGATAATACATGTACAGGCCTTTCAAAATCTGCTGATACTCGGTACTTTTGTCCGGCTGAAATCATGATTGTAATGCCCAAAATATTTGATTGAGAAAAATTCCATAACATATATTTTATGAAAATCGCTTCCACAAGGTAACTCCTACTTTTTTAAAAATACCACCTGTTTCTAATCTCTTTGAAAGCCCTGCATGTATAGGAAAATATAGATGTGCATAATTTTTTTCAATCATAAATGCCAAATTTCAGAACGATCTATGACG